AATGTAGAAAGTACAATGTACAGAGCCTGGGGACTCGCTGCAGCTGTGTTCTGGTTCTGGGATTGATCCAGCTCTCAGTGACAAGTAATGTCCCCTCCCTGAACCTCAGTTTATAACAGCTCTCTCGAGGAGACAAATTTATCCAGTCTTCTTTTAGCTAACAGCCTAGGCTTTGGTGGCAGGTTTGTTAAATTGGCCAAAAGTTAAATTTATCTGAAAGAGAAGTTACTTTCATCTTTACTGCCTCCAGGTTCCTTCTTCTATTAGATGATTAGGTGGGGTTCCTAGACTGTGGCTGAATGCTCAGAGCTCCCCACTGTCTGCGTCTTCCCAGCTCTACCACTTGTTATAGGACCTCTTTCTTCACCCTTCATTGTGGATTATAATCAAACTTACTTCACAGAGTCTTTGTGATTAAATATTGAGTTGACCAAAGTTCATTAGGTTTTAAGTAAAAATAAAAGACACATTATTCATTGTTACCAAGAGCTTTATTGAACAGTGTGTTCACTAACTGAACAAAACTTTTGGCCAACCCAATAAATTAATGTCTGTAATATGCTTATACCAGAATCTGGAACATAGACATAGTTTGTAAATGCTGTTTTAAGGTTATTATTGCGGTGATTACCCTGACTATAATTTCAGTTATTCAGAATGGGCTCTCTCCTCCTGGTCAGAACTTAACCATTTTGTATACTTTGATCAACTAAGCCTTACTGTTTACTTGCCAATGAAGGATAAAATATTAATCACTGACAATCATAACAGATTACCTTACTCCCCACTCTGAGGGAACATATTCACATTTTGATAAGATCTTAAACACCTGCGCACATAAAGAAAGCAGGAGAAGGGGTTCCAGCATGAGTAAAGACACAGAGAAAGGACTAGGAAGTATGATTTTATGATACAGTGAAGCTACCTTGACTGTTGTTTTCACTTTTCAGCATAAGTACTACTCTTTGAACTGGGAGACTGAAAAGACCATTATGTAAGTGGTCCAAGTGATTCCTGTGTATCAGCCCTAGCTACATTTAGCAGGTCCCTATCTAATTGTAGTAAAAACTATATCTGATGGAATATAGAGCAAATGAAAAGCAGAGGAGAAAATATTCTAATTTGTAGAACAACTATTGCTGATAAATGCTAATAAATGATTAATTGAGAAAATTGCCATTTGAAATCTCCAATGGGAAAGAGCAATTTTATGCAAAGATTATCAATGAGTATTAAAACCAATATGTGAAGTAAATGTTATAATGCATAGATCACACTCACAAAGCCTGAGCCAAATAATTAGTCTTCAGTTCAGTTCAGTCGCTCAGTTATGTCTGACTCTTTGCAACCTCACAGACTGTAGCATGCCAGGCTTCCCTATCCATCACCAACTCCCGGAGCTTACCCAAACTCATGTCCATTGAGTCGGTGATGCCATCCAACCATCTCATCCTCTGCCATCCCCTTCTCCTCCCGCCTTCAATCTTTCCCAGCATCAGGGTCTTTTCATGAGTCAGCTTTTCGCATCAGGTGGCCAAAGTATTGGAGTTTCGGCTTCAACATCAGTCCTTTCAATGAACACCAGGACTGATCTTTAGGATGGACTGGTTGGATCTCCTTGCAGTCCAAGAGACTCTCAAGAGTCTTCTCCAACACCACAGTTCAAAAGCATCAATTCTTCGGTGCTCAGCTTTCTTTATAGGCCAACTCTCCCATCCATACATGACTACTGGAAAAACCATAGCCTTGACTAGATGGACCTTTCTTGGCAAACTAATGTCTCTGCTTTTTAATATGCTGTCTAGGTTGGTCATAACTTTCCCGCCAAGGAATAAGCATCTTTAAATTTCATGACTGCAATCACTATCTGCAGTGATTTTGGAGCCCCCCCCCACCCCAAATCAAGCCTGTCAGTGTTTTCATTGTTTCCCCATCTATTTGTCATGAAGTGATGGGACCAGATGCCATGACCTTAGTTTTCTGAATGTCGAGCTTTAAGCCAACTTTTTCACTCTCCTCTTTCACTTTCATCAAGAGGNATAAGCAGAGTGACAATATACAGCCCTGAGGTACTCCTTTCCCAATTTGGAGCCAGTTCGTTGTTCCATGTCTGTTCTAACTATTGCTTCTTGACCTGCATACAGGTTTCTCAGGAGGCAGGTAAGGTGGTCTGGTATTCCAGTATCTTTAAGAATTTTCCATAGTTTGTTGTGATCCATGCAGTCAGTGCCTTTAGCATAGTCAGTGAAGCAGAAGTAGATGTTTTCCTGGAATCCCCTTGTTTTTTCTGTGATCCAACAGATGTTGGCAGTTTGACCTCTGGTGCCTGTGCCTTTTCTAAATCCAGCTTTTACACCAGGAAGTTCTCAGTTCACATACTTTTGAAGCCTAGCTTGGAAAATTTTGAGCATGACCTTCCTAGTAAAATGAGTGCAATTGTGTGGTAGTTTGAACATTTTTTGGCATTGCCTTTCTTTGGGATTAGAATGAAAACTGACCTTTCCCAGTCCTGTGGCCACTGCTGAGTCTTTTTAATTTGCTGGCATATTGAGTGCAGCACTTTCACAGCATCATATTTTAGGATTTGAAGGAGCTCACCTGGATTCCATCACCTCCACTAGGTTTGTTCATAGTGATGATTCCTAAGGCCCACTTGACTTTGCACTTCAGGATGTCTGGCTCTATGTGAGTGATGTTACGATCGTGGTTATCTGGTTGAGATCTTTTTAATATAGTTCTTCTGTGTATCCTTACCACCTCTTCTTAATATCCTCTGCTTCTGTTAGGTCCCTACCATTTCTGTCCTTTATTGAGCCCATCTTTGCATGAAATATTCCCTTGGTATCTCTGATTTTCTTGAAGAGATCTCTAGTCTTTCCCATTCTATTGTTTTTCTCTGTTTCTTTGCATTGATCACTGAGGAAAGCTTTCTTATCTCTCCTTGCTATTCTTTGGAACTCTGCATTCAGATGGGTATATCTTTCCTTTTCTCCTTTGTCTTTTGCTTCTTTTCTTTTTTTCAACTATTTGCCAGCCTCCTCAGATAACCATTTTGCTTTTTTGCATTTATTTTTCTTGGGGATTGTTTGGCTCACTGCCTCCTGTACAATGTTATGAACCTCCAAACATAGTTTTTCAGGCATGCTGTATATCAGATCTAATCCTTTGAAAGAGTAGGGGAAGGGGAATGAGGGGGAGAGAGATGAGAGGCTAGGAACTCATGCTCACAGTTACTTCACAGTAACAAAGCAGTTTGGCTTCTAAGATGGAACAGATCTACAGATGATATTATTTATTATATGTCCCTCTGCATTAGCAGCTGAACTTCAGAAGAGATGAAAATATAGGGGTGAATGAGGCTTAAAGTTAAAGCTGCAGCTTTTTCGATCCAGTTACTTTAATTTTATCTCCAGAGATGAAAGCAAGAATTAGGGTAGAAAGAAAAACTGCACCAAATAATCTAGAGACTTCATCAAATTAAGGAATTCTTAAAATGGTGTAAGTTGATGGTGAGTGCAGGGTGAGGGGAGATGTCATTTGTTTCAAAGGACAATGAGTTTGACTGAAAGATGGATAACAATGATCTGGAAATGACCATGGGTAATCAGGAATGTACCAAATCCCCCTTAAACTCATATTGGTTTGGTAGAAATTGATTCAGTCATTTTCTCTGGAGAACACAAAGTTTAAGTCCTCAGATTAGCTGGAGCCAGAAGGTTAACTAGGAAGTTAAGGGTGAAATAGGTGTAATGCCTGTAAAGAAGGATGAATTCAAGACATTTTTTTAAACAGTGGGAAAATGGTGTTTAGAGAAATAAATGGAGAATGTATATATATAGAGAGAGGATCTTATCAACAAGATACATGGAGAGCATGGAAGGTGGTAGATAATTGAGTGAATTTCAATACTAAGAGGCATATTTACATTCGAACCTCTAATATATTTTTCTTTCCTCTGGGAGGATAGCTGTTATTCTTACCATCACTACCACTAACCTTCCTAATAAGAAATTTTGTAGCATATCTGTATGGATCCTCCATATTTGTTAGTCTTGGTATAGCTTCCTATTTCTTTTCTATTCCATATCATGCAAAAGGCAGTGGTAAAATTTACTCAATAAATGGAACTCTACATTAGCACCAGATATATTCTTAGATAACTGTAAATTTTTCAATACCAGCTTAGAATATGGTTTTCCTTATAAAGAAGCTCTTATTTACATATGCAAAAAAAGTTGATTTTAGATGAGGGTGGGGTTAAACATGCTACCTAAGTAACTTGCTCTCACAGTTGGGTGAGCGTATGTGCAATTTAAATTCATGACTTGGCAAAACTAAGAATTACTAATAGATTCAGATTTGTTTTGATGTAGTTTTAGAATTCTAAACTACAGGAGTTTAGTGGCATTTTGGACTTATTCGTGTAATATATACTAATGTATACATGAATTGTTGTTGTTTAGTCACTAAGTCATGTGAAACTCTTTTGTGACTCCATGGACTGTAGCCTGCCAGGCTCTTCTGTCCTTGGGATTTCTCAGGCAAGAATACTAGAGTGGGTTGCCGTTTCTTTCTCCAGGGGATCTTCCCTAGCGTTGAACTGTGTCTCCTGCATTGGAATGCATTCTTTACCATTGGGCCACCTGGCAAGCCCCTATATATATGAGTACAATAAACAATAAGTGGCCTTAGAATTTGAAATTCCCCAGAGCTCCAGAATGGATCTTGATTGTTGTTTATTGGCTGGCTTGAGATTCTTATTAGTTTATTAATTCTACCATTTTTTCCAGAAAGTATTTCAGGCATTAAGTCTTTTTTTAAAATAAATAATATCTGGCAGTTTATTAAAAAATGGAGCATACTGCCAACAAACTATCTTACATCTTTTAGGAAGAAAAAACACTAAATTTGAAAAGACATCACCCACTGAATTTGGACACAACACCTCTACTCAATTAAGAGAAATACTTGTGCGGTCCAGGTCTTTATTTTTACACCCATCAGGCCATGAATTCATAGGGAATGGGCGCCAACAGTTCGGGTTCCTTTCCATTGGTCCTCAAGAAATGTGCTTCTCTGGGTGGAGCAGGCTGGTGCTTCAGCTGAACCCAAGTTCCTTTCTCTTTGGCTTCCTTCTTTTTCTGATCATTTTCCTTCACACATTTCAGGAAGCTATCTTGGCTCTTAGAGTCTTCCTTCTTTTTCTGATCATTTTTCTTCACACATTTCAGGAAGCTATCTTGGCTCTTAGAGTGCTTAATATGCTCGATACACACATTAATTCTCTTTGCAAGAATCTTGCCCTTAACTTGTTTGCTTACAGCAATGCCAACAGCATGCTGGGTAACAGTGTGGACTCTCCCAGTTTTGCCGTCATAGTATTTGTGGGGCATTCCTTTGTGAGCAGTACCCATTCCCTTGATATCCACAATATCACCCTTCTTGTAGATTCGCATGTATGTGGCCAAAGGAACAACTCCATGTTTTCTAAAAGGCCTAGAGAACGTGTAGCCGGTGCCCCTCCTCTTTCCCTTTGGGTTGGTCATTTTGGCGAGTTACTTTAAGATGGCGGTTCCAGCTGAAAAGCTTCAGGCATTAAGTCTTTAGAGAGTCTGCTGGCACTCCATTTTAAGATACTTGGAGATTAATAAAATCCAGATTAGCACTGAGCCTTATAAGTCATATAGCCTGATGACCTCTTACTTCTTAGCAATACCATTTTTATAAATATAATTCACACACATTGGAGACATAATAAATCTTAAGAATTTAGCTTTACAGATGGGGGAACTGAAGATCAGCTGTGTTTAGTAGCTTTTGCAGCTGGTTAGACTAAAAAAATCAGACCTTCTGAGTTCAGATGAATTCATCTTTCTGTGACCCATTTTCCCTGTTGAAAGACTTCATAGATAGAAAAGAAAAATCATATAAGTAATATGTAGAAGAGTTAATGAGGTTAATTGGGTATAGGCCTGCCACTTGGTTTTGCACACAAGCAGCTAGTGATGGCGGGATGAGCACAGGACATTGGAGATTTAGGTGTGAATCCCCAAACAGCTTTTTGACTCTGGGAAAGATATTTAACCTCCTTGATCCTTAGATGCCTCTTTTGATGAATGGGAATAATAGCACCTGCTTTAAGAAACTGACTGACTGAGTCGCTACTGGTTAGGGTACTTGTGAATGGCAGTGAAGGACTGGGATGCTAGATACTGTTGCTGTCATTGTTATAGCAGGAAGCATGCAGTTTCTAAGGATCCTCTCAATTCCCCCAGTGCTCTTTCCTGGGTGACTGAGGGACGAAGAGACACACAGTTTCACTTTGGAAGAGCTGTCTGGAAGGAATGCGAAATGAGTTCCGGAAAGCCAGTTGGAATTTAATAATGCATGAAAAATACACCAAGGGGAGGAAGGAACCAATTAGGCAGCAATTAAGGAGACTGCAATTACAATGCATCTTAATAAAGTCCAAAAAATATTAGCCTACAAATAGAAGACAGGCTGGTTACCTGTGGAACAAAAGAGAAGTGGAAATAAGGAAACTATGCACGTCAGATATGATGAAAACAAAGAACAGGAAAGGAAAAATAAAACTATATTTTCCACCGTCTTCTGTGCATGTTCAAATCCCAAGCATCTTTCATGAATCTATTCTTATGACATTCCTTGAAGCACTTCTGTTTAGTACTGTTATTAAATTATGGTGCTACCCTCACAACTAAAAAGCTAACCCCAGTAATTATCCAAATAGGAAGTACAAGTGAGTAGTAAATTTTTTGAAAAAATGACCAGCAATCTTAGGAATCAAATAAATGCAAAGTAAAATAATTTAGTGTCCCACTTGAGACTGAAAGTCAGAAAAGACTTTTTAAGCATATTTTGCCTGTTACCTCTTTACGTTTGCACTGGGGCATCCCGACCTATGCTGAGCAGTTGTTTGAGGAGCAGTTCTTTCTCGGTATATGATTGTCAGACAAGTGTACTGTAAAGAAAGAGGTTCTGGAAAAGAAGTCAGGATACTGAGCCAATTAAAGCCTCAGCTCCAAAAATGGAGTACTGAGAATTCAGATTTAGGGTCAGCTACTGTTTACTAATTACTTACCATGTGAGAGATGAGAACTTTATTCTGTATGACATAGTTAATATTCACAGTAATGTCTGTCTTTTATTGTTAACCCCTTTGTTCAGAGTATCGTAGGCAACCTAAGCCTGAGGGGTTGGGTCAGTCAGTTCAGTCCTCAGTCATGTCCGACTCTTTGCGACCCCATGGACTGCTGCATGCCAGGCTTCCCTGTCCATCATCAACACTCATGTCCATTGAGCCAGTGATGCCATCCAACCATCTTATCCTCTGTTGTCCCCTTCTCCTCCTGCCTTCAATCTTTCCCAGCATCAGGGTCTTTTCAAATGAATCAGTTCTACACATCAGTTGGCCAAAGTATTGAAGTTTCAGCTTCAGCATCAGTCCTTCCAATGAATATTCAGGACTGATTTCCTTTAGGATGGACTGGTTGGATCTCCTTGTAGCCCAAGGGACTCTCAAGGTTGGGTATCTTACCCAAGTTCAGAGTTTTAGTAAAAAAGAATTAAGTTAATGTATAAAAGTGTTGTGAAAACTAATTAATAGCATGATCTTTAAATCCTGCCTGCCAATGCAAGAGACATGAGATGCAGGTTTGATTCCTGGATCAGGAAGATCTCCTGGAGGAGGGCAAGGCAACCCACTCCAGTATTCTTGCCTGGAGAATCCCATGGACTGAGGAGCGCCTGGCAGGCTACAGTCCATGGGGTCACAAGGAGTTGGACAGGACTGAAGCAGCTTAGCATACCCTCATGACTGCAAAGAAAATAAGGGAAGAGTAAAAACATAATAGTAATAATAATGAGAAATATTGAATTTTATTTCAAAGGTTTATGTTCCTTTTCTGTTTTAAAATGGCAGTTCACATCAAAGCCAAAAATGTCATCATGCTATTTCAACTCAACTTTAAAACAAACAACATAACATTTTAATTAAATTTGTTTTAATTATTTGAAATATTAATATGATTTTCTCAATCATCTGTTTAAAACCTTTCAACATGTCCAGCAGTTATAGAACAATCTGGTTGGTTGTTGATCTGGTTCCCCAGAGGCTTATAATCGGTTCTATAAGCTTTTGTACCTTAACTATATTTTTCATGTCTGATCATTTCATGTGTGTAGTCTTTTTCTCACATTGGATTTAAACATTCCTTGGAACAGAGTTTCTATTTTATTCTATGAATGTCTTATGTTTTTATTCTACTTATGTCTCCTTAGCACCACTTGATGTAGTGCTGGGTATATTACAGCCTACTTCCCCAATCCCTGGGGAATCAGGGATACTAAAACAATTGGAATAACAGAATTGGAAGAAGCTGTGAGGCCATAAATGACCTGCTGATGCTCTGATACAACAGTTTGCCTCTCTACACTCCCACAACATTTTGAACCATTATCTACAACTCTCAAAAGTTTTTTCCAAGTTTCTAGGGACTGTTTTGGCTTTAGGCAAGGAGGAGTCTCAGGAATCTCTATCACATTCAAAAGTCTGCTGACTTATTAAGAACTCGTTTCTGTACGAGTGCTACTTTGTTTTTTTAATTGGAGCATAATTGCTTTACTATTTTGTCTGGGTTTCTGTTGTACAAGGAAGTTAATCTCTTAAAACTCTGGGTTTCTGGCTTATTGCCAAACCGAGTATTCACATTGTAGACTCTTTGCTGGTTTCCCACCTTGATGTGCTGTCTGTTGCTTCAGTCCTGTCTGACTTTATGTGACCCTGTGAACTGCAGCCCACCAGGTTCCCCCATCCATGGGATTCTGCAGGTGAGAATACTTGAGTGGGTTTCCATTACCTCCTCCAGGATATCTTCCTGACCCAGGGATAGAACCCACATCTCTTATGTCTCCTGCATTGACAGGCAGGTTTTTACCACTAGAGCCACCTGGGAAGCCCATCCCACCTTGATAGCCTTCTGTTACACTATTCTCTGTCTATGTTATCATCTTCTCTCTTGAAGCATCACTGTGGATTGGAAGGAATGTTAGCTTTGCAAACATGCATATCCTTACTCCATCATTGCCTGCTATCTGATCGTAGATAATTCCTTATAAAACTATGTTATCTAATCTGTAAAATAATATCAATTGCACCTAACTCAAAGAGCTTTCATAAAGATTAAATGAGATTTCTAGGGAAAATGTGAGGTAAAGATGGTGTGATTAGACTCTTGGACACGGATAATTTGTAAAACATCAGATTTTTAAAATATTTTAGGTTGAGCCTATTAACTTTGATTTCTAGGCAGAAAATCAGGTCTATATTTATCCCATCTAAAAGTACTATAATTATTTGCATTGGGTTAGAGTGCAAAGAGTATTTAGAGACCTGGATTTACATCGTATACTCCCTTTTTTAATTGGAACATAATTGCTTTACTATTTTGTCTGGGTTTCTGTTGTACAAGGAAGTTAATCTCTTAAAACTCTGGGTTTCTGGCTTATTGCCAAACCGAGTATTCACATTGTAGACTCTTTGCTGGTTTCCCACCTTGATGTGCTGTCTGTCGCTTCAGTCCTGTCTAACTTTATGTGACCCTGTGAACTGCAGCCCACCAGATTCCCCCGTCCATGGGATTCTGCAGGCGAGAATACTTGAGTGGGTTTCCATTACCTCCTCCAGGATACCTTCCTGACCCAGGGATAGAACCCACATCTCTTATGTCTCCTGCATTGACAGGCAGGTTTTTACACTAGAGCCACCTGGGAAGCCCATCCCACCTTGATAGCCTTCTGTTACACCATCCTCTGTCTATAAGTTATCATCTTCTCTCTTGAAGCATCACTGTGGATTGGAAAGAATGTTAGCTTTGCAAACATGCATATCCTTACTCCATCATTGCCTGCTATCTGATTGTAGATAATTCCTTATAAAACTATGTTATCTAATCTGTAAAATAATATCAATTGCACCTAACTCAAAGAGCTTTCATTAAGATTAAATGAGATTTCTAGGGAAAATGTGAGGTAAAGATGGTGGGATTAGACTCTTGGACACGGATAATTTGTAAAAAGTCAGATTTTTAAAATATTTTAGGTTGAGCCTATTAACTTTGATTTCTAGGCAGAAAATCAGGTCTATATTTATCCCATCTAAAAGTACTATAATTATTTGCATTGGGTTAGAGTGCAAAGAGTATTTAGAGACCTGGATTTACATCGTATACTCCCTCTTACTGACTGAGTGACCTAGTGCAAATAATTTATACTTGCTGAAACTCTGTTTCTGGTAATTAGTAAACAAGAACAATAATATCCATTTGACAAGTTAAGACAACTGAGGAGATAATGTATATCTCTGTTGTACAGAAGATTATGAAATGGTCTTAATAGCTAATGCTGTTGAGTTGGAACTGTGTGCTGGCATTTTTGTGTTTTCTCACGGTAGGCTTTACATTGGTATTATCATTATTCCCATTTTACAGGCAATTGAACCACAGAAATTAATTTGCCACAAAGCACA